AATGCGACATTTGATCCCGTTGGGTTTTCGTATCATCAGTGATGCATTAGATAAGAAGACTGGTGTACAGCGTGCGCGGTAATCAGGGTATAGCAGTCGGTTTTTATCAGGTTTTAGGTTGTTTCCTGTCTTGTTTGGTGTGGTGGGCAAACAGCAAAAAACAAGAAAAAACGTTTTCAACCGATAGAATGCATGCATGGATGGATGAAAGAAGAACACCACTATCTTTCTGTGTAGACTAGAAGCACGACGGACGAACTATTATCTCAATGCGCTTGCCGTCGCGATAGATGCGCACCGCTACCGCCATACGAACGAGCAGACTGTTGACAAACCTGACTACGATAACCGTACGACCATTGCAGCACATTCCGACAATAACAGCAGCAACCGCAGCAGCAGCCGCATGTGTACAATGGTCACTCAAGAACAAACGCAAAAAAAAAGCAAAATGTGGCGCGCAGCCCGCAGGACCCTTTTTCGCTGTTCAACCGGGCCGTTCCCATGGCGAAACAGGCAAGGAACAGTCAAGGCCGACTCTTGCCGGCCACAGGAAGCGGAAGTCGCTCAAACTCGGGGACGGCTCATGACTTGCGATTCCACATCGAACCATACTCGAGGCGCCACGAGATTTGCACTGTAGCTCGAGATCAGCATTTTAGACCGGGTCGGGCAGGGGTGGGGCATGCGAATGAAACTTCCACGGATAATGAACGATGAGACTGAAGCTAAAGCTTCAAAATTTCCCAAGCCTTGGACGTGTCAGTGGGCATGGTACAATAGGATATGGTGGTGTGTTGACAAGTGGAATGGACGGGGTGCGAGTAAAAAGTCCGGGGCGCAGTCATGAACATGGCAAGTAAACACCCCTCCCAACAAAAATTTATGGTGGGCGGGTGGCTGGGGGACCCCAACAAACAAAGCATGAAAGAAAAATGAAAAAAGAAGATCAAAGCCATGTGAGCCAGGCGCGACAGGCTTGAGGGAGGAGGCAAAAGAAGCATAGAAAACCCACCGTGGTCGTCGCTCGCTCTGGGCCGCTGGAACATGTCACATAGTACTGCATGTCCAGCATTAGGTAGGGCCCTAAGTCCATTGTTTGAAAAAAAACAGGTAGCGCACATTGCCTCTCATGCAGCAGCCGGTGCACGGGTAGCCCCTTACTCAGTAAAATGCAAAACCACTGCGCTTGACGTAGTTTGATGTTGTTGGGACCCCACCGGCGAAAGGCGAGAGAGAGACAGGTAGACTAAAAGAAGAGAACGGAGAGAAGACAAGGCATTCACTCTCGAGAAGACCCTCACTCACTCTCGTCCCTTTGGCCCACCGCAGGCTGTCAGACATCAATCTGTACCGAACGGCGGTATCCGAAGTGGGCTCAGTAACAACAAACACAACAACCACAAGTCGCCGAGTTGGAACTAGACTAGAGTAGTGCGGACTTTCATCCTTCTGTGACGAAGTGAGAACAGAAATCATGACTACACGGACGAACTAGTAGTCCGTCCGCGATTGATGTGCACCGCTGCACAAGAGGAGCAGGCTGTTGGTTGTCATTCCTCCTCACTTTCTGTTGTAAATAAGGTTGTGCTGCCATCTACCTTTACCTTTCCTTATCGCTCAAGTTACGACTGACTACGCAGCAGACTCAAAAAGCATCAACACCCTTATTCGATGTATGCCACCCATGCATGCATATGCCGCTTAGACTACTACGATGCGTACCACCCATGCATATGCAGCAAGAGAGAAAAAAGGCCTGTTGTTTTCTGTCTCAACTGTTGTGCTGCTGTTGCTTTTCATGTATAACGACACGCAGGCGACAAAGTAAGTGACGCGCATCGCCTTCTGCGCGACGCGTGCACCCCACAGCGACAGACACGATAGCCTTCAACCTCTGAAGCAATTCAGCAACAGCAGCATGGTCACTCAGAAAAAAAAAAAAACGATTGTGGCGCGCAGCACGCAGGACCCTCTTTCGCTGTCCAACCGGCCGTTCCCATGGCGAAACAGACAAGGAACAGGCAAGGCCGAGTCGTGTCGGCCACAGCAGGTGGAAGCTGCTGAAACTCGGGGACGGCTCATGGTTTGCGATTGCCTACCGAACCATACGTCGGGCGCCACGAGGTTTAAACTGTAGCTCGAGATCGGCATTTGAGACAGGGTCGGGCAAGGGGTGGGCTATCCGAATAAAAGTTCCACCCACCCACGGATATTGAAAGATGAGACTGAAGCTTAGACTGAAGCTAAAGCTTCAGAATCATGTCACCTTTTTCAAATCCCGATTTGGTTTTGGGTCGTCCTGTTTTTAAGTCCTAAGGATTCGACGGGTTCCATAACTTTTCACCCATTCAACAAGAGAGTTTTTTGGATCTTCCGGTCTTGCAACCAAATCTGAATGTGATTTCGTGATCTATCTTATTCCTACCCAAATCCCGGTCGCTACAAAAAACGAACACGTCTCGTTCGGTTGAATTGATTGCTGCTGTCGGTCGCGCAGCAGTAGACACAAAACCGACGCTGGAACACAGCAGCGAAACAACGAAGGAGATAAATGGAACAGCATGCACATCCTTGTCCAAACACAACATGAAAACGTTGATTGGCGCCCTCGCCGCTTTTCCGGTGCTTCGTGACCATTCTAGCGAGATTCTCCATTTGTCCTGGAAAGCAAAGAGTTCTTGCCTAAGCTCAGGTGTGGCGACCACCACCGCGATGCCTTCATTCTTCGCCAACCCCGGCGCGACCTACTTGCAGCGAAGAAATGAATGCAATATTCACAAACATCATGCGGAACCTCGGCGCGGGAATGACTTGCACACCTTCCCAAGGCATCTTACCGCAAGGAGGGGAACGTGGAAAAACGGCCTTGGCCTTGCTGGGAGGATGGTTACTCTCCGCGACACCCGATTACTTCAATGCTCGCGATCTTTGACACCAGTAACATGATACCCACCGCATCATGAGCGTTCACAACCATGTCTCATCGGATATATTGCGTGCAAACAGAGGTACTGCGACCAACCTCTCCCTTATATACCTGCTCTGCCGATGCAAAACAACCAGCCCCCTTATATTTTGCTGATAGATAGGGATAATATATCTAATAAAATATCGCCCCGCTATCGCCCCGGGGGGGAAATTCAAGAAGGACGCTCTCAACGCACCCGTTCTTCGCGAGAAGAATCTCGACATTCACCCTTTCCCCATCAACACAGGCCCTCGAACAAGGTAAGAAATGGTAGATACATCGGAGATCATTCTTCCCTTCTACCCCAATCGCCTCCGTCATCCTCGTTCCCTGACAATGGCAACACATAAATCACTAGGCAAATACGAACATGTGAAAAAAGGTCATACGCCATACAAGGGTGGGTGTGGCAACGCGAACAGACAGCGAGTAGAAGGGCACAATCGACCGCCGAAGTGATGACGGAATGCAACGGGGCCTCAAACCCCTTAAAAAAAAGAAGAAAAAAGACAGGAATTAACAAATGAGTAACGATGCCTTTCACTTCCAACCCGGGAGCCTCGCAAAAACAAGTCCGCTGCACAAGGGATCAAATGGTCCCTCCCCTCCAACACCAACGGTAGCGCACGGCTTCTTAGGACGCGCGTATGGCGGACCCCAGGAATCCGGTTGTGTTATTTGTCTCCCGCGCAAGGTGCGGAAAGTGTTGAGGCGAGAGGATCCGTCGGCGCTCGAAATACTGCTTACAACGAGACCCTCGCAGCTTTCGCGACGGCGGCGAAACCAACAGAATTCCTTCAGCCCCGCGGCGTGTGCTGTCTTGGGACATGCAGCGTGGCATACAAGGCCTACGGCAGTATCGTTTATTGCCCGATTCCTCCGTTCAACAACAACATATGAATGTTATCATAGAGGCAAAAATGAATGCCATGGCAGCGACGTTTCACACTCCACAGGAACGTGTCACTCCGCCCATAACAAACCGTGAAAGGGGGAGTAGTACCGGGAGTCGACACCATTAAAAAACTAGAAAGACGCAAGACATTTAGACCCGAACCCATCACAATCATGAACATGAAAACCAAATCGTGCAGCTCTTGTCGGTCAGTACAGCTTGACCACAGTCGGCGTTGCTCTTCCGAACATAGAGCACCCCGACTCTGCCCCCAGCTGGTTCCTACGACTTCCAAACACTCCAAGAGACACCTCCCTCCAAGAAGGAAAATCACGCCAACACAAACATCGTCCATCTCCACACCCACCCAAAAGCAAAAAAGATATCGACACTCACGGGGCCACCGCCGCCTCTACTACTGCCTTCAGCACCTTGTTAAAAATAATGAAAAAACACAACAGTCAGGTCCTATGGCCAGCATCTCCCGCAAGGTTTGAAGGGCGCGCCCCAAACCGTTCGACACATCCATTGTACACTGTCCCGCATACGCGTACCCTCACCCGGACCTAACTTACAAACCCCCCTCTCCATGGGTCACGCTCCGTGCTACCCGCCCGCCGATAATTGTTTGCCTACACAACGCCCCCTCCTTACTTTCACGCATTTGCTTCCCCCCCATCGAGTGCTAGAGGTCGAGCACCCTCTCGTGTCGCGGATGGCATCCCCCCCCCCCCCCTTTCCGCCGACAAGTTTCTCCCCTCCTTGCCCTGGCCATGCTTGAGCTGCAACTGCCCCCATCCGTCAAGCAACCCTTGCGCCTTTTGTTCGCATCTGTCGTCGGTAAGTTGTTCTCCACAGGTACGTCTGTGGCCACGAACATAGCACGACCACCTTGTCGCCCCTTCCAGGCCAACGCGCAAACGTCGCACCCACGCACAACAGCACCCGCAAGGAAGGCACGTGAAAGCCACCGGCCTGCCGCGTGTGGTGCATGAACGCATGGGCCCTGAGCGTCGAAGCCCCTCGTCAGCTGACGATCGGCGAATAACAATGTAGTTGCTCCAGCTGGCACCGAGCGCCGACGTCACTATGGCATCGGTCCAAGATGTCGTGCCCTCCACTTCACTTCCACGCTCATCGTCCTGTTTCACGCCAACACGAGACAGCAGGATCAGTGTCCACGGTCTCTCGACTCAAGTTGGTTCTCGTTGGTTGGAATATGTAGGCGAGGGAAGACGCATGTCTTGTGGGTGTCTCGCGTTCATTGACGGGATTTGGTTTCGCGCCGAAGCGGGGGTAAGAAACAAATAACAACCAACGTTCAAGAACTGGAAGAGTAATGAGAGAACGGCCATGATGAACCTGATGACGGTGAACGCAAAGTCGTCGATTGCGCGACGTTACTTCTAAGTGTGTCCTGGTTTCTTGCGGGGAGACACACGTGAAGGGCAGCTCCAACTTCCCCCCATGAACGTTCATTCACAAGCTGGGAACGGCCAGTGCTTTACTCACTTCTCCCCTCAGGTCCCAAGTCAACGGTGACGAGCATCTTCGCTGGTACCCTGCCACCGGCCTGCAATAAACAAACAAACATGAAAAAATAAACAAGCGGAAGCTGACCATGTCAACAGAGAACCACACAACGTCCGTGAGGTTTGGGGAGCGATGGAAATCACGAGGGAACTAGGGGCAGCGGAGCACCCACAGAAATGCACAGGAGCGTGAGAACGAGTGCGAGTGTGAGTGCTTTCGTTAAAAAAAACAAGGGTGGGAGAGACCATGGCGGGCGTCGTTCTGCCGCGCGAAGGTACCGAGCCTAACAAGCACTGGTTGGCCGACACGTGTACGCACCTTCGTAACAGGGCAGCACGGACTACACGATGGAGGGTAGAACAGACAACGGCACACATACGAAGCACCAAACCTAGCCCACGATGCGCACCCATGACGGCAAACGATCAGAAAACGCACCATAGACTCTACTGCTGTGCGTGAAGTGTGCAGATCGAGCTTGACGACGAGTCGGGTGCATCGTAGCAGAGCGGAAAGGCAGCGGTTTCGGCACTCGACTGTATGTGACGGGGAAGCAACAACAATCACTACTGTACTGCCACACAACCTCCGCTCGCGACGAAAACAAGCTTCGAGAAAACTGCAAATCCCCCGAAAAAACAAAACACATACCGGGGAGGGGGCATCAGCTTCGAGCTCGTCGTACGTAGGCGGCGCGTCGTCAATTGGCGCCGTTGCCGCCGATGCCATCGCCTGCTGTTTCGTTTTTGGTGAATAGCCGGCGGTTGCGGCCGCGGAGGGGCGAACACGGACAGCATCCTCCAAAGGCGGGGTGGGTGCTTCCACGTCGTCGTAGCAAAGGTCTTCGTCCACCTGCTGGACCTGCTTCACCTGCCGGGTGAGGGCCTGTGAGTCGGGGGAGGGGGCATCAGGAATGGGGGGGGGGGGGGGGGGGGGAAAATAAAAGGGGCCCAATTTGCCCGGGGGCCCCCCCCCCCCAAAAAAAAAGGGAGAAGCCCGGAATTTCCCCGGACCAAAAAAAGGAAAAAAA